GAAGATGAGTTAAAGCCTGGAGGTGGGGATCTGGTTGGCCAGAGTACACGGGACAAAATCAGACATGAACTTCATGGTCTGAGAGGCCACAGGTAGCAGCTCCCAAAGTACCATGTTTTAAACAGAATTCATTACCAAAACCTCTCCGAATCTGGGCCTGTACCTTTTAGAAAATAGAGGCAGCTGTGACTAACCACCACCACCACACAGGACTGACAGGCCGGAGCAGGGGACCCCTGGAAGGAGCAAAAACTCCAGGACATCCAGTCTGGCAGCACCCAGTGCTGGTGACACTGCTTCCAACACACCCTCTGGTCGCTTAGGCAAGCACCCACCCTAGTACACCAGTAAACTTTCAAAATCATCGGGAAATGAAGGTTGGCCTGGCAGTTTTCAGGAAGTCACATTTCACTCTTGTGCATGGGGCGGGGGCTGACTGGACAGCTCTATGCCCCCTCAATGGTCCAGCCCACTCCCATCAGACAGGAAACCAGCTTGCTCACATGGGCAAGCAAGCCTTTCCTGCTCGGGTTCACAGGTGCACAGAACATCCTTAGAGAGCAAGGAACCCCAAGGTGGCCATCATATGCCCCAGGGGTGTGAGGCACGGCCCAAGCTCATCCCACGGAACAGAGCTGGTTACCTGGTCTCCAGCTCATTGTAGTAGACACCATCGCCCTCTCGGAAGATGAAGAAGTAGTTTTCCTCGTAGCCCTTGCTGGCCTTGTTCTTCACGTTCCAGTTGTACTCCCGAGCAATCTTGTAATCATACCTGAAAAGAAAGGGGAAGATCAACCCCACGCCTGCTCATTGGAAAAAAGGCCATGCTTCTCAACCCCAACCCGAGTACATACACGTCATCAGGCGCATAGTCCATCTCCTCCTCCTGGTCCCTCTTTCGTTTCTTCAGCGTCTCTTCCACGGGCAGGAAGTAGGCCACGAACTGGTTCCCTTCCTCATCCATCATGCCCCTGGTTTGGGGAGACACGGAGCCATGAAGCGGGAGGACAAAGGCGCCATCAAGGAGTGGTACAAGGTGGGCAGCAGGGCCCTGACCTGATCATGGCCTGAGACATCATCTCCAGTGCTGCCGCGCCGCTTGTGTCCTTGGGGGCTGGGTCTGAGTCAAAGATGACCTGAGCACAGGGGTTGATCCACATCTGGGGGACGGGGGGAGGGGGAACCAGGGTTAGGTTGAGATGGCAGGCTGGCTCCGAGAACCTCACTTGGTGGCTGTCCTGCTCCCCCTTCCACTCTGGGGCTGACCTTAAAGTCTGGGAAGACAGGCATGACCTCCACTGGTGTCACCCGGGGCTTGCTGTAGTGCTGGGAGATCTGATGGAGGCAGAAGAGGGGTCAGCAGATGGCCAGGCTCTGGAGCCATACCCTCCTTGCCGGACCTCAGGCCAGCCCTGCAGTTACCGACTTCTGGGCGTCCTCAAAAGTCTTCTCGATGGCTGTGATCTGGCTGTCCCTGTCTTTGTATATTTCCTCCTCGGTGAACTGCTGCTTCACAGAAACCCCAATCCTGAGAGGGACGAGAAAGCAAGCCTTTGGGGGCCACTAGACACCCCTCAAAATCCTCCCCCCCTCCCTCCGTATACCCAGTCGTAACTTACTTGACTTCAGGCTTCTCATTGGAAATACCGTAACGGTTGAACTCGGTGGAGATGTATTCCGTCTTGCGCATCCAGGGCACCACCTTAGCATGCTGCTGGGATCTGGGGTCAAGGATCCACCCCTTAATATCTCCGCGCCCTCCTGGGTGGAGACCCTACCCTGGCCAGTCCCCAGCACTCCTTCAGCACCACCTTAGCATGATGCTGGGATCTGGGGTCAGGGATCCGGCCCTTAGAACCTCCCCGCCCTCCCTACCCTGGCCTGGCCAGTCCCTAGCACTCCCTCAGCACCACCTCACCGCTTAGAGCTTGTGGGGGCCTGAATCTCCTCTTCCAGAAGCTTCTCGTCAGCCAGATCCAGCAGAACTAGAAGAGGGCAAGAGAGACGAAGGTCCCAAGAGGGGCCTGGGCCAGGCCTCTGCTTGCCTAGAGAAGACCCTCTAGCCGCCCCACACACCATTGGGGTCGATGCGGTAGGTGTCGGGGTTGATGAGGTCGATGGTGACCCCCAGGTCTGGCTCAGTCAGGAGGTCATGTTTGTGTTGTTTCTCCAAGGACGTCGCTTTGTACTGGACAAACCTGAGTGGGGAAACGTGCCCATGAGGAATTTGGCCCCTTATCCCTGCCTCCTAGAGGCTACACTGTATGCTTCTCGCCAGGGAGAGGGAGAAACACGCATGATCACAAGACTGGCGCCCCAGTGGAAAAGAGACACCTCTTGCTCCACTGAAAGATGTTATACACCTACTATAAGCTCTCCTGGTTCTGAGAGCTGTGCATGAGAGACAAAGGTCCTGTCCTGAAGGAACTCCCCACTCCCCACCCCAGCCCTGATCCCAGTCTCACCTGTTCTGGTCAAAAGGATAGGTGATGAACTTGGGGTCGAAGGGGATGTCAGGGAGGCTATTGCAGTACTTGACGCGGCAGACCACTCCAGACCTGGGGGCCAAACAAACCAAGCCAAACTCCCTATCATGGAGTCAATTCTAATTCACAGCCACCCTGTAGAGACTGTAGCAAGCCTCATCTTTCTTCCACAGAGCGGCTGGTGGTTTCACACTGGTGACCTCCTGTAGCCCAGCATGTAACCTTTACCACTACACCTCCAGAGTTCTGGCCCTGGGGACACACCAAGCTCAATATTGAATCCTTGCAGGCCCACATCCCTGCTCCCAGTTCCCACTGGCCCAGCCCTTCTTGGAAAACTGTGGGGCTCACCTCTCTGGCAGAGTCCGGTGGGAATTGGGCCTGGTGAGAAAAAGATGGAAAGATGGGATGGATAACAAGTGGAAAGTTAGAGAATTCGATGCATAATTTTCATTGGAAGAGGTGGCTCTCAATTGTTTTTATTTTGTTTTGTTTTAAGTTTTATTGGCATATGATTCATGTCATACCATTCAGTAATTCAGTCATATTAAGAGTTGTATAATTCATCACCACAATCAATTTTAGATCATGTTTTTCTTGTACCCAATATTAGTTCCTCACTTCCCCCATAACCTTCTCTGCTACACCCCAAGAAACCATCATCCAGTTACTGTCAATAGATTTACGTATCCTAATATTCACGTACAGAAACACAAACACACAAAAGAACAGCAATAACAAAGTAAAAAACTCAAATCAAAAAGCAGAAAGCATTAAAAATGACAAATTTGTAATATGTCAACAGGCAAATCCAACGATAAGGTGCTAAGTTTAAACTAACAGCATGTGCGATAATCACTGTCTAATGGACTGCAAAGCTGACCCTATCTCTGGTCTGTGGTCAGAGGGGATTTGCTGGGGGCTTGTGGGATACAGATACAGAAAGGTTTCCCAGGCTGTCCCGCAAATATGCGCCAACCTAGGATGCTGCTTTCAACACATGGTAAGTGACTGTAGCACATGGGAGGTCAGCTGCTTAAGAGGTTATCTCCTTGAAGGTGTCAGCCATCAGACAAGTCAAGCCAACTCAAGGATGACCAAATTAGGCTGCCATCTTGAATCTAGGATCGGCCCATCTTGTCACAAGTATACCCCTAGTTTCTCCCCTTCCTATTATGTGTATACCCCTAGATTGTCCCCCTCCCACTGCACGTATTACCTACGGTACAACCCCTTCCCGTTATGATGTAATTGGGGACTTGCATGCCCCCTAAGTGTATATTGCCTGGTCTTGGCACAAGGGACTCCATTTTGAATCCGGCACCTTCTTGGTTCTCAGAACTCACCTCTCATGGGCCTCCCTCACATCGGCCTCCCCTCCCCTC